GTTACTTATATATATATATATATATATATATATATATATGTATGTGTGTGTGTGTGTGTGTGTGTGATTGTGTGTGTGTGTGTATGTGTGTGTGTGTGTGCGCGCCTGCGCGGGCATGAAAGTCTGAGGTCAGCCCGCTAATTAACAGCTACAGTAAACATCCAGTGGCCCAGTTTGAATCTAGGGCAATTTAATGGTCACGATTGCATTTCGTATTCGAATTTTAATTTTTTTTACAAATTCAAATCACTTGAAATATGGAGCATCTATTCTTAAAAAATAGGTGAATCTAATAAAAATATCAAAAAAATAATTCACAAAAAGTAAATAGACCAAAATACCACTGAAACATTCAGCGGTATTTTGATCAATTTAGTTTTTATGAATAATTTGCTTAACATTTTTAGTGATGAGACGAGTGGACATCCCAAATTTTATATGACTTGGATTTGTATAAAAATGATCAAAATTAAAATACGAAATGCATTTGTGACTATTCGATTGGCCCAGATTCAATCTGAGTCGTTGGGTTACACACTTCCATCAGCCCATGGGCTGACAATATCTTTTCCCTATATGTACATATTGTCTCTCTCACACATTGTGTCCAATATCAATGAGGGAGAGCATATCAAGAAGCTGATGGTGCATGGGAAGTTAAATTGATTCTAAATTAGTTTGGGGAAAGATGAAAAATAGTAATAAGAAGAGGTGCATGGGAAGTTAAATGAGGTGTGAAAAATATTAGCTCAGGAGAAACAAAAGATGTTGGCCCTACATTTATCCTAGGAAATAGACTTCAAATGGCCCTCAACAACATGTTATTTGGTCTTCTGGAAAATGAGATACACACAAACAAGAAATGGGACAACTGTGTGTGCGACAACAAATCCTCAATTAGAATCAGGAAGCAATCAAGAGAAGAGGCTTGTCCAAGACAGTTTTAGAAAGTTGGTCTTCATAGGCAATCCCAACGTGTAGATTGAATTGAACACGTTTGTTGGCTGCCAGATGACAACATTAAAGATCAAAGATAACCTGATGTTCACTTTGAATAGCATGTGCAATATCTGGACAAATAGTGTTCGGATATATAGGAATTCCAACCAGCTGTTGGTGACGTGTATGATCTAGAACATTATCTATCATATGAATTTTATACATGATGATCATTCCAGAGGAATAACACACAATCTTGCTATTGAGGAGTTATCAGTGCATGTGTGCAATATCTGGACAAATAGTGTTCGGATATATAGGAATTCCAACCAGCTGTTGGTGACGTGTATGATCTAGAACATTATCTATCATATGACTTTTATACATGATGATCATTCCAGAGGAATAACACACAATCTTGCTATCGAGGAGTTATCAGTGCATGAGGAGATTCTAGTTGTGCAACCAAGGAGAAGAATGGGAGAGAGAGGTGAGAGGGCATGAGAAAAGATAGGGACTAGTCAAGAGTAAGAGAGGTATGGTTTTGTCAAGAGATACAAAAGGGAAGGATTTGGGGTGTGCCTGCTTAGGAGCACACATGGGGCGCTTTGTCTTTGTGTGTGTGTGTGAGAGAGAGAGAGAGAGAGAGAGAGAGAGAGTATTTACAAACGAGGGCAATATGAATCAGAGACAAAGAGAATGCAGCC